CTTGATCTGTGACTACTTGCTTAACCCCCCCCCTCCCCCAAATATACCTGCTTGCATCTTTGTCAGCTTGCAGAAAATTCTGGGCAAATGTCTGCTGAGAGCAAAGGGACAGTGGAATCAGAAGGTTCTGGGCAGACAGTCTAGTCAAGAGGACCACAGATTAATAAATGTGCACTCGTCCATACCATTTCCCTGCCTGGCTTTGTACACCCACATATGCATGCCGAACAATGCTATGTATGGCCCAAGCTTGGCTCCATTCAATTTGGCTTACAGATGTGCATGTGCTTGTGCAGCAGCAATACATTCTGAACTGCTCTGTCACCCCTCCCTGCCTCCTATATCCCCCTCCTTTCCCAGCACTACCCAAATGCTTATTTTCCATAATTTATGATAAGCATAGAATTTTCAACATCGTTATTGCTGAATATATACTTGACCTCACTCAATGAAGCACATTCAAATCAAGCCTCTTTGTGTTATACACACAGCACTACAGAGCTTGTCTTCGCACTGTTTCTTTGGGGCATGGCCGTACAGCAATAGCCACACAAGGAGGCTTTTAAAAATAATGAGCATCTGCTGCAAAGGGCAGTGGCTGCTGAGATCATTAAATGCAATCATTAAACTTCATCTTCTATTAAAATCTTGTTAGCCAATTTTAGATGCATTGCAGCTAAGACTCTGTTAATGAAATCTGTCATAGCTAATCTAGCTCTGCAATGTTGAAATTTAAAATGCTTCATCTTGGGAGTTACATCAGATAATATGTCCTCGGGGAAGGCTAAGGTTTAGGTGATGGGGTACCTTTAATATTCCTGGTGTACTTAAAAAAAATTAATGAAATTGCTTTAATATTCCAGACACACTTATCAAGCTTCTAAACATAGCTTAGGATCAAAGTAAATGGGATGTTTAATTTGTGCTGTTTGACCTTGCATGATTTAAAGAAAAAGAATGTTATGAATAGTGGCTCTCTCTGTGTGTATGTTTTCATGATGGGGGTCAGGTTGAGAAGCATAGGAGGGAAAGAGGAGTCTAACCCTTTCCTGCTGCACTGCAGTCCTAATAAATATTGTCTCCCACTTATGATATTTTGCATAGGACAGGATGCTATTTACATCACAGTTGTTTCCCACAAGTACTAAACAGCAGCTTCAGGTGAGAAGGGTTAAACATCCTTCTCCATAACATAATCTAGATCCTGACTGGGCCTCTCTACAGTTACAACATGAGGTTTAAATTGAATCATGCCACACCAAGTATAGCTTGGCACTTTATATTATTTTGGCATGCCTGCTTTGACAGCATTCCATCTTCTTCTTTTCTACTTCTGTGTCCACAGGAGATTATGTGTTAGTACTACTTGGCTTTCCCTGGAAGCTGGAAATTATTCCCCATGCTGCTGTACTTGGATTTCCTGTTGGTTCCTTCTGTTGACTCTAGGAACTTCTGAATCTCTCCCACTTTTACCTGAGCATGAGGTGAGCTTTGTACTTGATCCCAGAATCCTTCCTGCTAATACTTTTTCTCTTCCTGCTTGTCTTCCAGATTCATTCTTTGCTCTTTTAGAATACTGAGGTCCTCACTTAGACTTGGAAGGGAGCCTGAAGTTATCACCACTTCCATTCCACCTGTAATATTAAGACAACATTTCCCACCCACTCCCTTTTAGACCCTTTAACAAGGTTCAAGAAGACCTTTGCTCTTGCAAATTTTGTAAACCATGCCAGGTATTGATTTCACTAAACTGGGCAGTTTATAAGTGAAACCAGTCAGTCAGTCAGTCAGTCAGTCTCTTTGTTGGTTGATGTACACTGATGTAGGAAGCAGCTACATGATCCACCTGCTCTTTGATATCAGACCATATTAATGGTGCAATAAGAAGCTTTTCCCTGGAAAAGACCCTGATGTTGGGAAAGTGTGAAGGCAATAGGAGAAGGGGACGATGGAGGACGAGATGGTTGGACAGTGCCATCGAAGCGACCAACATGAATTTAACCCAACTCCGGGAGGCAGTGGAAGACAGGAGAGCCTGGTGTGCTCTGGTCCATGGGGTCATGAAGAGTTGGACATGACTTTATGGGTTGTGTAACATCTGTGACCAAATCTGGATTAATACATATCCAGTTCTTGTAAATTTTGTATTATGAATTATGTTATGCAGCTATTGCTACAAAACAATTTTCCAATGGATCTGCACTTAACTGAAAACAATTATACATTCCAATCCTGCTTACACTGATGTAGGAAGCAGCTACATGATCCATCTGTTCTTTGATATCAGGCTGTTCATATTAATGGTGCAATAGGAAGCTTTTCCCTGGAAAAGACCATGATGTTGGGAAAGTGTGGAACAACAGGAAGCTTGATTCCATGGTACTGTGATGTGGAAAGTGGTTAGGACAATGGTTCCCAACCTTTTCAACCACAGGATAAGATCCGTGTACAGAAGCATGGTTCTAGCATAGCACCAACATATGTATGTTCAGGTCAGCTCTTAAAAGTGGATATCTTGTACATCCGTGTCCTTTCTTTTCAAGGCAGGGCAGGCAAAAGCAAGACATCACCTGATGATTGCTCATCTCTTCCTATGCCGACATCATAACATTTTAAACACACTTGCTACAGCTTCTCTACATTATTAATTGTAAAATAGTGAAATATACAGTAGTTCTTTTTCTTTCACTCATTGCCGGGGTTCCATTTTGGACCCAGTCTTCAAGGATGGTTCTAGCTGCTTCTTTAGTTTCTATTTATACACTTTCACAATTTCTTTGGCAGAGTCCAAGAGTACATACCAGGGTGTTGCCTTTTATGAATCTCGGGAGATGTGAGAGGCAAACAGACTGGGTGAACTTTGGTTACATATTCCAGACAAGCACAATGGCTCTATTTATTCAGACTAAGCTGCTGAATGCAGATTGATTGACTCCGTGGGCAATAAATTTTCACAGCCACAAAACCTCAGTGGCAACCAACCTGATCCTGCAAGGGGGGGGGCTGCCTAGAAGACTGGGGTTGTAAAAATAAGTTGGATTATTTTTCCACATATGTAAACCTTATTAATTGTGAAACAGTAAAATATAGTTCTTTTTCTTTCACTCATTGCCGGGGTTCCATTTTGGACCCAGTCTTCAAGGATGGTTCTAGCTGCTTCTTTAGTTTCTATTTATACACTTTCACAATTTCTTTGGCAGAGTCCAAGAGTACATACCAGGGTGTTGCCTTTTATGAATCTCGGGAGATGTGAGAGGCAAACAGACTGGGTGAACTTTGGTTACATATTCCAGACAAGCACAATGGCTCTATTTATTCAGACTAAGCTGCTGAATGCAGATTGATTGACTCCGTGGGCAATAAATTTTCACAGCCACAAAACCTCAGTGGCAACCAACCTGATCCTGCAAGGGGGGGGGCTGCCTAGAAGACTGGGGTTGTAAAAATAAGTTGGATTATTTTTCCACATATGTAAACTAGTTAGTTAAATTCTTTCACCATTGATTGACATGAATTACTGAACTGGCTTTAGAGATTCATTTCTTCACTTAAACATTTCACTTTCTACTATGAAATAATCCTATACAAATTGACAGCAGGAAAATCAGGAAGGAAAGAAGGGAAGGAAAAAAAGGAGTGAGTTGGGGTTTGCATAATGGATAGGAATCCCTGCTTAATAATGCTCCTAATACTGATTTAAATTGTGCAATAACTTGTAGAATAAAGACCAGAGAATTGTAATGTGAATGTTTCATATGTCATTCCACACTTCAGGGAATCAAAAGGCAATAATCATCACAATTCAGTGCTCTGAACAAACTTAAGTATGGTTTTGACTTCTCTGTGACACAAATCTTCCAACATTCTGCACAAAAAGATGATGACAATATTATTACTTTCTGCATTATAAATCAAAGGAAACTGGATAAGTTTAACTTCCAGATTTATGTTAACTACCCAGCAGTTTGCTAATTGTGCGCACTTCATATATCGATTGGGGATTTAAAATGTAAGGTGTTTTTTTCGTGTTAGTGAAATTAAACACACAAACAGGGAACATTTCTTTCCACACATTAGATCTTCCGATTGTTGTATATAAAAATTAAAGCTGTAATTATAAATGATTAAATAGTGGCAATTGAAAGGAGGAAAATACATCTGTGTAATTAAAATTAAGGGAGTGCCTAATGTGGGTAGATAATGTAATTACTATGAGATCCTTGATCCATGAGCTAAACTTTTATTCTTTTTATTCTCTCTGCATTTTTCTCTTCCTGCCTGTTCAGCCTGTTTATTTAATGTAACTTCTGGAGAAACATTTATGCCTGATGACACATTCTCTGTTCTTATAACTGTCCTCTTCTCCTTTCCTCTTCATTTTTTTAAAAATTTGTGTTTATAGCTTATTCTGTTTCCATGTGCCATCATCCAAGTCTTAGCTTATTAAATACAGGTTTAAGACCCAAGTTAAACTGATCTGAAAAGAACACCAACCTTTATGGAATTTCCTTTTACTGTCTCCATAGTGAAAGAAGTGTATTCTTAATTTTTTTCAGGTGTATTTTAAATCATTGCTTCCTTCACATTCATTCAGGATTAAATGCTGCCACTGGAAATGCACACTGGAGCTGAGCCCTGTTCTGCTCTGGCCCAAACTGAATCAGTATTTTATAGCTATTTGACTTTTACTGTGTTCAGGAAACCAATAGTAAAGTTTTCAGTGGAGCTGTGTTACTGCTAAGCACATGCTCAGTAACATTTGTCCAAGGGAAATGTATGAAGAATACTTCAGAGTGTGTATGAGAACAATACAGTATATATCCAAGAGCTATGACTCCACATAGAGGATTATATATATATTATTGGTTGGCAACCTCAGTTGTGTACACAATGTTTCCTGCCAAACTTTTTAAGTCAGTGATCACAAGCATACATCAACATTTCTGGAGTTTCATGTTTAGAAACTCATACAGCTTAAACAGAAACATTAGTCTGCTCACCTGGTCATTTTCTTCTTCATCACTGCTTAACTTGAGGTCATCTTCTAACATTCTGGAAAAAGAATAACAAAAGATCCACACTTGAGTTCAACAGGAGATTTTTTTTTTTAAATATAAGCTAGACCAGTGATGGCAAACCTTTTTGAGCCTGAGTGCCCAAACTGCAACACAAAACCAACTCATTTATTTCAAAGCGCCAACACTGCAATTAAACCTGAATACTGAGGTTTTAGTTTAGAAAAAACAACTGCCCCTACACTGCAAGGGTTAAATGCTTGATGTTTTCCCCCTCTAGGGGCAGTATTATTGATTTTCCCTAGCAACCAGTATTCCATGGCAGACTGCCTCTGAACCAGGAGACTCCATGCAACCATTATGATTGACAGTCACTGGTAGACTTATCTCCAAAGGTCCAATATCACTGATAAAGGCCCAATATAATTCATGCCATTTCCTAGTTGCTATAGGTAGGCCATAGTTAATGCACAGGAGTCCATGGCCTTTCAATACCGTGTACTTCCTGTCATGACCAGCTACTGATAAGAGGCACAAGTCTGGAATTTACCCCAGGCTGGATTTTGCAGTTGGCAGTGTGAGAGGTGAGCAGCATGGTGACAACCAGTTTGTGGGGCAGGTGAGGCCTTCTCCAAGGCCCCTAGAACAAGTGTAGGCTTCAGTGGCAGAGCTCTTTCCATAACCAATCAAGGTGGCCTGAAGCAGAGCAAAGATGGATATGATAAAGGACAAAAATGGGAGGGACCTAACAGAAGCAGAAGACATTAAGAAGAGGTGGCAAGAATACACAGA